TAGTACCGTATGGGTACATCTAGACATTAACTATTAATTTGAGCAATTATTTGCATAAATTCAAGCAATGATAACATCAAAATATATAAACGATCCAAACCATATCTTTAATTACAATATATAATATTTGATGTTCTAATTAATTAAATAATTATATATCAATTCATAAATTCTTAATATATTACAACAAATTCATTTCATGCTGGCAAATACTAGTCAACATATATATAATAATTTCTCTTTTGATAATTTGGTGTAAGATTTATATGCCTACGTACTTCGGTACTTAGCCAAATCAAGCAGCATTTGAAGTAATGCTTCAGCATCAGGCCTTTTACTAGGAGATGTGCTAATGCATCTCAATGCAATCCTCAGTGAGGCTACCATCTGATCTTGAACCTCCATGGATGTTTCGCCCACTCGCCTGTCAATAATTTCTTCCAAATTTTCGGGTTGGTCCGACCTGCTAGTTACCCAGCTGGCTAACTCTATCCCTTCATATACAGCTTGTTTTCCTGTCAACAACTCTAGCATGATCACTCCGAAGCTATAAATGTTGCCCGATGTTGTCACCCTCATCGTGTATGCATACTCTGCATTCCAAAACTTAAACAAGAATTAATTTTAAAGCGAAAAATCTGGAAAAAAAAATGATAAAATGTAGTGTGTCAGTTCACCTGGAGGGACAAATCCCACAGCAGCAGCAACTACTGAAGGGGTTCTCTTGTTGTGTGATGGTCTTATCAAATTACTGAGCTCAAAATCTCCGATAATTGGCTCAGACAGTGATTTCATCATGATACTTCTCGTCGACAAGTTGAGGAGGATTCTCGGGGCATCATCTTCAGAACCATTTCCATGCAAGAAATTTAGGCCTCTGGAAATCCCTAGTGCAATGCTGAACCGGGATTTCCAGTCCAGAACGTTGTTATCATCACTGTGAAGCAGGTGAAAGAGGGACCCGAATTCAGGGAACTCGTGGAATATGAATGCGCTGTGTGATGTTAAAACATAGGCAAGAGGGGTCATGATATTGGGATTAGCTACACTAGCTAATCTAGTTAGTTCTTCCACAAACTTTTCGGGGTCGTGGAGTGTGAATGCCTTGTTGCTCCAATTGATCTTCTTGATGAAGTAGCTAATCCCACTGGGCATCACAGCCCTGTAATAAGTGTACCACTCAGTACTCAGGAGAGTGTTGGTTGGCCTGCGAGTCACAGCCATGGCTTTGCTAAAGTCGAGTTGAGAATTGTGGTGGGTATGATGATCATCCACGAGCCAGTAACCTCGTACCTTGTACATGTTTCTCAAAACGGAGAGAGCTATACATGTAAACACCCCAACAGCAATAACAGCAACTGCAACTGCTATAACAATCACAACAGCCACAGATAATTTCTTCTTTCCTGATACAACTGGAGAGTTTTGGGGAGGTGGAGGAGGGAAAATCAGCTGGCGGTTTCCTTCTAGACTAAGCTCCACGTAGTTTGGAAACGCAGGAACAACACCAGAAAGGTGATTGTTTGCCAGTATTAGATGTGTCAAGCCGCTCATCCGTGTCATTGATTCTGGAATCTGACCCGAAAACGTGTTATTAGAAAGGTCTAAAACCTCCAATGCAGTGAGCCTAGTGAGAGTGGTTGGAATCGGTCCGGTGAAGAGATTGTGACTGAGGTTTAGTGCAATTTGCAACTGCATTGGCATTTCTGGAATTAGCCCACTAAGCTGGTTGTTTCCAAGTTGGAGTTCCAACAGAAGGTTTAAGTTACCAATCGAATTTGGTATTGAACCATTGAGACCATTCTCTCTCAAGTCCAAATTTGTAAGAGTATGCAAGGTTGATATTGAATCTGGTATTACACCAGTAAGGGAATTCCAGCTCATATTAAGCCTCTGCAATATTTTAAGCTTGGAGATGCTATCAGGGACCCCTCCAACAAAACCGTTCATTTCGAGCTTCAGAACCTGAAGACTGATAAGGTTCCCGATATCTGCAGGCAAAGGACCGGCCAGCTTATTGTGGGCAAGATTCAAAAGAGCCAAATTTTTGCAGGAAAGCAGCTCCAGAGGTATGCTTCCATTCAATTGATTGTTTTCCAACTCCAAGAAGGTCAGATTCTGAAGGCTTTGAAAGGGTTTAGATGGGATAGGCCCAGCTAGACTATTGCTTCCCAATCTTAGCCTAACAAGAGTTGATCCCATATTTGCAGGTATTGAACCTTCCAGCTTATTGTTAGACAAATCCACATACTGCAAATTTGATGGAGATAAGAGGTCCCAAGGGATTGTTCCACTTAAACTATTATAACTAAGGTCTAAATTATTGAGGTAGGAAGTAATACCTGCTGGAACATCTCCAACAAAACCGTTTTGATTCGCAGAAAATCGCAACAAGGTTGTGATATTCCCAAGAGTTTTTGGAATGGTACCACTCAACCTATTAGCAGAGAGACTCAGAGTTTTCAAGCTAGAGAGATCTCCCAAGCTTTCAGGGATTGGGCCAGAGAGTTTATTAAGGCTAAGGTCAATCAAACTCAAATTCTCATATTTCACAATCTGAGAAGGGATTTCACCATCAAAGCTATTAGCAGAGAGCTGAAGCTCCACCAAAGCATTGGATTTTCCCAGACTGGTTGGAATATGCCCACCAAATTTGTTGGAGCTGAGGTCCAAATTCTTGAGTGAACTCAAGCTATCCAATTGGAGATCAATATTCCCAGATAGAGAATTCATAGACAGGTCCAGGGACTCTAACACACCAAACCCACTAAAGATAGACAAAGGGCCCTCCAACAAATTGCTACTAAAATTCAACACTTTCAACCCACTCATCCCCCCACAACCAGTGATGAACCCACCCGGAATGGAGCTCAACTGGTTGCCAGACACATCAAGAGACTCGAGACTTTTGATCCCGCAAAGAAGGGGCAGAGTATCAGGATTAGAAATGGAAAACAAATGAAGGGAAATATTGGTTATGGAAGAATTATTTGGAGAGCAAGAAACTCCCTTCCATGAACATGGGTCCGAACCTCTGTTTGTCCCATTCCATGCAAAAGAAGTACCTGTATTGTTGTGAATCATATCATAGAGGCTAACCATGATGCTTTTCTGATCCTGAGGCAGCTCAGAATACACAGTTGGGAGGAAGAAACAGAAGCACAAGGAGGAAAAGATTGTAGAGGTGATGTGGGCATACCTTCTAGCCATGTTGGCTGGCTATGGGTTATGGGAGTTGATTACTTCCCAAGCAAAAGCAAATGCAAAAGCCCCCAGTATGTTGTGTAGTGTTGCTGATTTCAGGATACAAGGCGATAGGTTGATTCGTATGTGTAGAACAGCAGGGTAAACGGCCCGGGTTGTTTAGTAAGTCAAAATTTGGAGGTTTTTTTTTTTTGAAAAATAGAAATTTTGTGAATTAGAAAATTGAAAAAAAAAAAAAAAAACTTGCTTATTAAACTTAAGTTTCCAGTTTTGTAAATTATTTACATTCTTCCCTTTTTCATTGATTTTGGAGAATTCAGAATCACAATTCACCAAATGGAGAAGTGGAAAAATGCAGGTGAACATTGCCAATTTGAGTTATATCATTAAATGAGTGATCCGCACAACCATTTTGGTGAGCCTCCTTCTCGGCTAATTTCATAATTCAACATAGACTCCCCAAAATCTTCCGTTAGATCTTGTGTATTTTGTTGAATGTTATTTCCTTTCTCTTTGTTATGAATAATTGATAGTGAACGTCATTTGAAGTTCTAATTGCTGGAAAGTGTATAGCTTGTATCGAGTGTGTGTGTTTTTTTTATTATTATAATGTCATTAGAGTGATTTGTATGCTTTGACTTTTGTAAATATTAGTTGAAAAATTAAAGAAAATTATATTTAAGTAACATACAAAATGCATATGACGATTGCTGCATACACAAAGTACGTGGTCGAATAGTATTGTGGCTGATTTACTTAATATTATATACGACCAATGTAGGGTGCTAGGCCCTACTCCTTAGGCGCTAGTCAGGCTCCTGACTGGCGCTAGTGCCTAGGAGGGCGCCCAATATTAAAAAAAAAAAAAGAAAAAAAAGTGGTAGCTTGGCTATGGAAACACTACAAGACAATTGTCAGTAGTGAGATGTAAAACTGTTTAAAAATCATCATAAAAGACTTTTAATGACGGAAAATTTATCGTCAAGACCCGTCGTTATTTTTTCTAAAGATAAAAACAAATAAGGGAAAATGACAATTTTTCCCCCTAAATTATATGTTTATAGCACATTTTCCCCCTAATTTATTCATGTAAGCATATTAGTCCCCTCAATTATTCTAAAAGTGTCAATTTTCTCCATGATATATTAAATTGACATCTCTACCCTTAAAGTAAACATTTTATTTATTTTTCTTATCCAACAAATTATTACTTATATGTAGGGATCAAATGACCACGGTTCGATTCGAACTGAACCGGACACTATAACAATCGAATTGAAAGTTTTCCGGTTATGATTCATATCCGAACCCAATATTTGAATTTCAGTTTATTAAAATCATGAATCGAAAAATTGGATACTGGACCGTGAACCGACGGTTCGAATTGGAACAACTACTAGCATTACTTTAAAATTAGAATTATTATACTATTTACAAATAGTGTATGTTTTTTTTTTTTTTTTTTTTTTTTTTTTTTTTTTTTTTTTTTTTACATTTATTCTGATTCTCACATATAAGTATATATGATCGTGATTTGGTTTTGATTTTGAACCGTCGGTTCACGGTTCCGGATCCAGTTTGAACTGTTGGTTCAAACTTTATTTTAAAATTTTATTTTTATTTTTAAAATAGTCTAAATTCAACAATAAATGTACTTTTTTCAGTTTGGAACATGAACCGGCCATTCTGGTTCGCGATTTTAATAAACTCTAAATATCGGGTTTTGATTCTAAATTGTAATCGGAATATTTTGGTTTGGTTGCTATAGTGTCTGTTCGGTTTGAACCAAATCGTGGTCGTTATTTGTTGGAGAAAAAAAAATAAATGAGATATTTATTTTAAAGGTAAATATGTCCATTTAACATTTCAGGGGGAAAAACTGTCACTTAAATAATTCATGGGGGAAAACTGCTATAAGTATATAACTCAGGGGGAAAAGTGTCATTTTCCCAAACAAATAATGACGGGACATGATGTCATCATTAGTGAGCATATAGTGATAGTTCACTAAAATGTTAGTCCTAATTGATTGTTTCACTATCGATTTATTTTTTTTTCCAATTGTAGTCATTTGATCAATTAATAAATTATATATCTGTGTATGTGTGTGTGTGTGTTGTGTGTGTATGTGTGTGTGTGTGTGTGTGTGTGTGTATGTGTGTGTGTGTGTGTGTGTGTGTGTGTGTGTGTGTGTTGATAAGGCTGAAGATTTCAGATCTCTCCTCATTTGCGCTTTGCGCAGTCGAAGCTAGGGTTTTTTATTTCTCTCCATTCTCCCTTCGCAATTCTGATTTCTCTCAACTCTCTACTCTCAGTTTCTCACTCTCTGAGATTCTGATCTCTGAGACTCTGAGTTCTCCCTACTCTAGAGTCTCTACTCTCTACTTCTCTAGTTCTTTGTCTGAGTTCCATACATCCACACAATCACCCGTTGTGTAGTCCGGTACTCCAGTGGTCTGGTCTCAGCCTCTCAGGTCTGGTGGAAGCCGTACTAGTGATTGGTGTAGTGGTGTTGTCGTCGACCTCGACTGGTGATATCTGTACAAAGAAGCTCTTGTTCTCCGAGGTATCTGTGAGAACGAAGTAAATCATCTAACCCTAGTTTCTTAAATTTTATTTCCTAAAGTTATTATCATATTATGCGAATTTGTGATATGTGATATGAACCTAGTCCAAGATTCAAATAAGATGGAATATTGTCCCAAGAATGCTCTCAAAAGTAATGATAGAGATGGATCAAAATACCTTAGACCTCATGAGAAACCCTTTGTCTCGAATCCTCAAAGACTTAGAAGAATACCATTGTAGCTTCAAGTACCTCGATGATGCAATCTTCAATCAACTAGAGTCGGATCTAGTTTTCTTCGATTCAAGAACGAGTCCACGAACCTAAATCTTATGTTGAAGAAAGGAAGATTAATTCGAGTCCACGAATCAATTTTCTAGTCGAGTCCACGACTAGCCACTAATTGAGTCCACAATTAGCCATAAGGTTTCTTACACAAGTGTAAAGAAAAATTTAAGAATTTTATTGAATTAAAGCCTTGAGTTCTTCTTCATCTTTTGCAAATGGGCTTCACTTGGATTTCCACCATCTTTGAACATCACCAATGAAGAGTTGCCTTAATTGTTTGAACTTGGGCCTTGTGATTGGCCCAATTGGTACTCTTAATGGATCTTCATTATGTTGGGCCGCATCATCCTCCCCTTCTTGAAAATGATTCGACCTTGAATCTTGTAAGCATTGTCTTTGATCCATGATATCACTTGAAATGGACCACTATAATACTTTCCTCTATCGAATGGAATTATTATTGGACTTTCTTGTTTCTTCCACCAATGATGCTTTAAGGACGTAGTTATGGGCCTTGTGATGAGCCCACTATAGACCCTTATTGAATTCCATGTGTACTGGTTCCTATTAATATGTTATGTGAATATCTGGTGGAAACACTGACTTATTGAATGTTTATTGCAAACCCTAGTTGATACTGTCAGTTTGTGAAATGTTTTTCTCATATTGTGAGAATTTATGATATGTTATGTGAATATCTGGTGGAAGCACTGACTTATTGACTATTTATTACAAACCCTAGTTTGATACTGTCTGTTTGTGAAATATTTTTCTCATATTGTGAAAATTTATGATATGTTATGTGAATATCTTGTGGAAGCACGGATTTATTGACTGTTTATTGTTGTCAGTTTGTGAAATTTTTTTCTCATACTCTGAGTCTGAGTCTCTGAGAATTTGTGATATATTGATATGGTGGAAGCCTCTAAGTTTGAAATCCAGATAATGATGCCTGATGAATATGAGGCGATGAGCTGTATAATAAATTAATAATTATAACAGTCTCTGCCTCTCTAAAAAGGGAAATTAAAACTCTGAATCTGGATTTCTTTAAAAATGTCAAGTTTATAGATGTATGCCCTTAATGGTATTGAAAATGGTGACACAAAATAAAATAAATAAATAATTATGTATTCTTTGAAAACGATGACACAAAATGTGTCTGATTTTGGAATGCTTTCTACTTTCATGCTTTGTGCTTCTGTGTAATTGTGCTGACTGTGACTCTGTGAGACTGTCTATTATTCTTGAATATAAATCCTACTATGTGTACTGATAGTTAACCATTTTTTAGATGGATAATATCAGTATGCCAGGTAGTCAACCTCACAACTCTTTAGCTGATCTGATGGACCTTTAGGGATGGAAGCCCAAACCATTGAGCAAAATAATCAACAGAATGTCCAACCTCCTGCAGTTCCTGATAAGAAGAGAAAACAGGTTGATGCCAGATCCAGAGTATGGGATCATTTTGAGAGAATAAATTACATTAATTGTGTTACTGTAAAAGGAAAGTGTATTTATTGTGCAAAAGTATATCAGTGTGAGTCGAAAAAACATGGTACATCTTCCTTAAGAAACCACATGCTGAGTTGTTTGAAAAATCCTCACTCCAAGGATACTAGGCAGTCCCTTTTAACATTTTCAAGCTGTTACATCTTTTGATTCAGCTCAGCCTACTGTGGGGGGAAATAGGGACCTGGTATTTAATCAAGAGTCAATTAGGAGGGCTTGGTTAAATGATAATCATAGACAAACTGCCCTTTAGATTTGTGGATGGAATAGGTTTCAGGAGGTTCATAGCTATTGCATGCCCTAGGTTTATAGTTCCATCTAGATGGACTATAAGTAGGGATATCCTAGTGGTCTATGAAGAGGAGATACTAAAATTGAATGCATTTTTAAGGGGAAGCAGTCATAGGGTTAGTATCACAACTGACTCATGGACATCCATCCAAAGGATTAACTACATGGTAGTTATTGTCCATTTCACTGATTCTGACTGGAAGCTCCATAAAAAAATCATAGCATTTGTCCTTGTTATCTCTCATAAAGGTGAATATCTATCCAAAGCCCTAGAAACTTGTTTAATAGAGTGGGGGCTTAGGAATGTTTTTAGTGTGACTGTTGATAATCCCTCATCAAATGACAC